CATGTGAAATGTAACTGTTAAAAACGTATAATCGAATTCTATCTATAGACTAGGTTTTCTTTTGTTTTTTGTAAAATTATTCAACTGCAAAAAAGAGTATTTATATATCTTGATTTTGTTTTAGATTAAAACATGAAGATCAATCCTTTGAACGTAGTTAATTTATTATTAGCATATTTTCAAAGTTTACAAATACCAGATAGCGAGATTAATTTTAAAGAAATTAAATTGTGAGAAAAGTTGGAAGAAATATTAATAGATGCCGTGTATGAGTTTAATGATATTGATATGATTGTTGAAGAGACGTTAGATTTACATGAAGATTATAAAGATACTGATGCTAAAATAATCGAAGATGAAGTTCAACATCACTTTCCTGATCCTGATTTTGCACCAACAAATCAGTGCAAAAATGATGATGAAGAAATCACATTTGATTATAAACAAAGAGCCGTAGAGTTTTGGAGGAGCAGAGAAAACAAAAACTTAAAACTGGATACTGTACATCATAGATTCAAAAAAGTTTCATCTATAAGTCAACTTAAACGTTGGGCGAAAACAATTAATAAAAATGGAACTTACCGAGAAAAAATTGCGCAAATTTGCCAATACACGTTTGATAATTTAAAAGCCGCTATTGCAGCTGGTACGATAGTGCATGATCGAGATATACGGAAATGGGCATTGGAAGCTCAAAAAATTGTTGGCCATGAAGATATAAGATTTAAAGCTTCTCAAAATTGGTTACTAAGGTTGCTACTAGTATCTAAAAAAATAAATAAATTTATCACCAGAAAAACAATAGAAAGTAAAGAAGAACTACAAACTAATGCTGATGCTTTTGTAGCTGATGTTAAATCATGTACTATATACCAGAAATCGGCATTGCAAACTTTTATAATTCAGATCAGAGTGGTTTCCAATTAGAAATGCACTCGGGAAGAACATTAGCAGTTGAAGGAGAAAAGCAGGTGTAATGTCTGGTACAGTCGGTTTCATCGACAACGCACAGTTATACGAGTATAATTCAGCCAACTACATCAGCAACCGGGAAACTTTTATCCCTACTTTTTATAGTATTAAAAGAAAAAATTGGTCAATTCGGTCCCATAGTGGAATCTTCATTATTTAGACCAGAAAATGTGCATGTGGAAGCATCTAAATCTGGAAAATTAACGACAATTTAGTATATTTTTGTTTATTATAATGCAATGACATAAAAAAATTTTGACATTTTTTTATTTTAGATCATTTCAAAATTTGGTTGAAAGAAGTTTTTTACCCAAATGTTGGATCTCAATCTGTACTTTTACTCGACTCTTGGTGGACATTGCGATAAAGCTGTAAGGGAAACGATGCCGACAAACAAAATTGTTAATATAAAAAAAATTCCCACAGGAACGACAGGGAACATCCAACCACTCGATGTTTATGGATTTCGTATCTGGAAAAACTTCGTTCGACGTTTATCAGATCAAGTAATTTTGATGGACTGTGAAATGAATCTACATTTAAGAAATAACATCATAAAAATGCAGTTTGTTGTCCATAACCAGCTTTCTTCACCAAGATATACAAATATTTTTAAATACGCTTGGTATAAAAGCGGCTACATTGCTGAAAAACCAGCTAAAACAGATAACTCTGTTGATTTTAGTTTTGGAGATTCTTGCAATATACATTGCGAAGTAGAAGCATGTAAAAATGTTGCTATAATACGGTGTGGTTGGTGTAGAAGATCATTATGTTTCAAACACTTTTTCGATGATTATTATTTCTGTCAGGAATTCGTTGAATGATACATTTTTATTTACCAATAAATAAAACAAAGAAAAAGATGAAAATTATTATGAAAAATTAAAATATATGTAGTATCGCGTACGATGGCTCTTACGTAAATATATTTATGTGTCTACATACGAATATAAATATATATGTATAGATCTATAAATGATAATTAGACCTCATGTTATTCTTGTGTTTATTTTTAAGAGATATTTCTCGCCATTTTGATACTATTAAAATAAAATGTATTAAACATATTTTTATTTGTCATAAATTATGTTTGAGCTACAGATATATTTTATCAAAAAAAAAATGGGATACCTCACGTACGGTGTAGAAATCAATTATTTTAGGAAAATGTAACTGATAAATTCAATTCTTCCAAAGTTAGGTCTATTAGCCTACATTTGGTTGGGTAAGGGTGGTTTATGGGGGTTTGGTGGGTTAGAGGCAGGTTGATTAGTTGAGGTAGCTTGCTCAGGCGTAGGATTAAATTATTTCAGGAAATAACAAACGACTTAACTCGTGTTTCCCAGGGTTAGCAGGTTTAGCCTGCTTGTGTTTCAGTAAGGGTGGTTTATAAGGGTTGGGGTTAAATAGGTTAGGGGTAGATGGATATGAGATATGTTATACAGCTGGGATAACTCGCTTATGGTGTGAAATTCAATTATTTCAAGAAATAACAAACGACTAAAGTTGCTTTTCACAGGATTAGGTGGGTTAGCCTGTATATGGTTCGGTAAGGGTGGTTTATGGGGGTTTGGTGGATTAGAGGCAGGTTGGTTAGTTGAGGTAGCTCGCTCATGCATAGGATTAAATTATTTCAAGAAATAACAAACGTCTCAACTTGTTTATCCCAGGGTTAGGTGGATTAACCTGCTGATAGTTTGACGGCGGTGGTTTCTAGGGGGTGAAACACCCCTTAAATATATTTTTTTTTTAAATCCGGAAACATGTCAATTTAATTTTAGTATTTTCTCATTATCAGTGCGATTTTTAAATCACTCGAGCTGATTTACTATATTACATGTCGTAAAACAGTATAAAAAATAGTGTATTTACCCCTATTAAAAAGGGGGTTGCAACCCTTCGGTATAAATGTTATGTCCTTAAAAGCGCCTTTTTATAAAAAATTTTTTAACGTTGAGTTTACTGAAAAATATTTATTTGATGCTGAGAAATATTAAAAAAACTGATTTTAGGGGTTGATTTTCAGGGTGGATTTCACCTCTTAAAAGCCCTTATGGGCCGATAAAAAAAACACGTATCTAATTTGTTTTTCAAGTACTACAACATATCCCAAAATCATTCAAATCGGTGAGGTCGGATAGGGGTTGTTCCCTTGTAAGTAGACATACTAACGAGAAGTAATCACAAATAATAAACTTGAACATATGATGGAGCAGCTGATGTGAAGAATGGATACTACGTAAAATCTTTCAATTCTACTAGTAAACAAAATGGCGAGCAGTCTAATACTCGCTATCTGGAACGCAAACGGTCTTAGCCGGAGACACATTGAATTAAAAGTATTTTTAATCTATGAAAATGTAGTCGTCATGTTGATATCAGAAACACACTTTACAAGTAAAAACTATCTTAATATATCAAACTAGTGTATATAAAACCAATCACCCGCTTAATAAAGTACACGAAGGTACTGCGATTATAATCAAAACAAAAATAAATCACAACATTCACACTAACACTTGTGAAATCTATTTACAAGCACCCAGTGTAATCATGAAAGATAAAGACGAACCGATAACAAAATCAGCAGTTTACTAGCCTCCAAACAAAACAATTACAAAAGAAAACTTTACTGACTTTTTCAACACACTTGGAAATTACTTTATAGAACGAGGAGATTATAATGCGAAACATCCTTGGTGGGGATCAAGGTCATCAACTCCATCAGAGGCAGAGTACTCTATGAAATACTACTAAAAAGATAGCTACATTATGATATCCACAAGAGAAAAAACATATTGGCCTATAGATATAAAAAAGTTTTCGGATTTGATTGACTTTGCTATAGTAAAATTATTTTGAAGAGTCATCATGCTTATAGTTATCATCAGATCATTCGTCGGTACTAATTACTCTACATCACCAAGTATTTAATAAAGTAAACAATAATATAAGTCGCCAGGAAAAATATGTTCTTTACATAGAGAAACGCATAACGTGCAACGCTCCTCTTAAAACAGTTAATAGTATATAATAGAAAGCAACATCAACTTACTCAACGTAATTCTAACTGAAACTATTAAAAATGCCCAACTACAATAAATAGAAATAAAACACAGGAAGTCACGTCCACTAAAATAACTTAAAAACATCAAAGAAAAGAGATTATTAATTGGAATGAAGCTACAATTTCGGGCCGAATTTTTCTCATGATTTAGTCGTCGTAATGTTTCAAGATAAAACAGAAAATATCAATAAAAAACCAAAAATATCAGAAACTGAAATCGATAAATGATAAAAGTAGTTAAGCAATGTATGTTTCAAGCCACCTCGTGGGGGTCCAGGTGACTTAAATAGGGTTGCCTTATGACTGGACATTTAAGATTCGAGCATATGACCTGATATGTGACGGACATATGTCGGACATGTGACCGGTGGATAAATTTTGTGGTTTAAATGTTGGATATAAAAGATTAGAGCACATGACATATCATCATTAAATATGTGTTCACTCCCTAGTGGGAAAATGTCGGACATAAAATTGTTCGTCACGTCACATTTCATACGGACATGCGGCCGTAAATAAACTTCGTTTAAAACTTTACTACTACATCAAAAATTAAATTTAAACCAATAAATTATATTTTTTTAAAAAGATTTTCGTTTTTATAGACATAGCGGTCGCTATAACTTGCTCCATTGATTTTATAAGTTAATTATCACGTACTAATTTAGGGATTAAATTAATTGTTAATTCTATGTATCGATTTAAATTACATTTAATACAAAAAAACAAATACAATCTTACTTTATCTAACTACTCTATCCACTCCACTCCATAGTGGGAAAATGTCGGACATAAAATTGTTCGTCACGTCACATTTTATACGGACATGCAGCCGTAAATAAACTTAATTCGTTCAAAATCTTACTTATACTACATCAAAAATAAATTTAAACAAGTAAATTATATTTTTTTAAAAAGATTTTTATTTTTTTAAATGCATAATTAGTTTTTATATACATTAGCCATTATTGTACGTTAAGGTTGAATCATTTTGCACTGCATAAGTTCCTTCGGGAAGACTTTGTAAGTTCGATGGAAGACTATGAAGTGAACTGTAAGTTTCCAGTATGCTATCTTCCGAGCTCACACGATATTCATTATCGTCAACTACTGGAAAATCATTTTGATCGTCACTAAGCTCTTCTTCGTCAGCATTTTCTTCGTCATACTTTTTTTTTTAGTCTTTCGGTTTGGATCCAAAAACTTTAAGTTCAGTGCTACATATGTTACTTTGGAAGCTCGGCCAACTTTAAATCTATTGCGTTTGGCATTATGGATCCAACCGTATGTGCTGAATGACCTTTCAGTTGCAGCTGAAGAGCAGGGAAGGTTCATGATTGGAACAGCTATTTTACTGAGTGAGGTACAGCTACAAATGCCCTTCCACCACTCGTCGGGATTTACTAATCTCGACGTTTTTCGTCCGCTTTCTGAGCTCCAAAATCCAGTCTCAGCAGTGTATTGGCTTAACTCAACTAATAAGTTTTGTTCAGAAACTTGAAATTTGCGGCTTAATTTTAAAATCATATCCTGACCCACAGAAAAATTTTCTGGAGTTAAGTGTTTACCTCTTGATGATGGATTTAAAATGTTCGCTGCATAGTGGAGTGGAGTTAACACCATTGTAGCATGAGATTGCAAACAATCCGACAATTTTTGTGCTTCATCATAGTTGAAAATTGAAAGTGATGTATCGAATAGCTCTTTATTCAAGACGCTTTTGAGATCCTCGAACACATTTACTACTTCGTAAAACATTGATTGATCACCTTCAATTTCTTTCAATCAAGTAACTATTGGTTTAAGCAAGGCGATTAACTTGGTAACCTTTTGCCAAAATATGTCATAAAGGATCAAATCTTTCACTTCTCTACTTAATCGGTCGCTGTACTTAGAAATGGCTAATTGTTTCAAATTGAAACAATTATCATTGACGCTCTCAAGATATTCTAGAGATGAACCCCATCTAGTTTTTCCAGGCAATTTCAGAGTCTTTGTCACTCTCCTTGCTCCTTCTTCTCCATTTGAAGAGTTCTGAATGTCTTTTAAAGCTGCTCCTAATATGTGCGAATGTTTGATTGATTTTACAATCAGCACTGCTTCGTCTAATATTGATTTTGTAGATGGTGTCTGGATAGTGTCTTGACAAAATAAATTCAAGATGTGAGCGAAACATCCATAGCCAAAAATTTGCTCTAATGCATATCTTAATTCTAGTAACTTCCATGCTCTTCTGCAATAAGACGCGTTATCTGTAATAGCAGCGAGCGTTTTTTCTGCGCTAACTTCGTCAATGACAGAAGACAATGCATCACATAAATACTCGCCTGTTTGCGAAGCATTTTTAGTTTCAATGTGCTTGTAAAGCACAGGATCTGGTGTGTTGACGATAAAATTGATAATGCCTTCGTTTGTAGTAGTTGAATACGAATCAGATTGGATTGTTAGCGATGAAGCATTCTCAATTTTTTTGTTCACTTTAACTTGAACTTCATCATGAATTTTATCGAGCAAAGGTCCAGAAATTTGATGACGCGTTGGGCAAATAAATTTTGGGCGCAAACGCGAGAGAAATTCAAGAAAATATTCATTTTCTAGAAATATGAATGACACACCTGAAAAAAACAGCAGTCAAGTAACATTGGAACTTTTTTTTTAATATCACAAAATTGCTAAATTTTTATATGTACCTCCAGTGTAAATGGCTTTAGCTAAAAGATTCGAACAAATTTCTTGTTCGCTTTTTGTCATATTGTCAAAAAATTCAGAAATTGGTGCACCTATTTTCTTCTTTGGAACAGCTGTAGAATCGGTAGAATTATTTTCATTTTCTGAGTCTAAACATGACTCACTGCTGATGGAATTTGCTGCAGCTGATTTTGAGGTGTTTGTAATCAACTTTCGTTTTTTTGATTTTCGTCCCTGTTTTTGTTGGTGTTCTTTTAATAAAGTTACAACGTGGGGCGGGCATCCTTTGCACTCGAGCAAATGATCGATCATCCGCGTCGTATGACAAACATAAACTTGTGTGCAATAATTACAACCATAAGATTCCAATTTTTGGTTTGGTGGCTTAGGTTTCAAGGTAAAATGTTTTAAGGCCACTTTTCGCAACTTCATGTCTCTTGCTAAGATAGCTGAGACCTAAAATAGTCAAGTTAAATAATCGATTTATATATATATATATATATATATATATATATATATATATATATATATATATATATATATATATATATATATATATTTTTTTTTTTTATGTACTTAACCTCATCATTTCTATATTATATTATACCTTAATCTTACCAGTAGAATAGCTCACGGAATGAAAAATCGTAAATGCGCACTATAATACAATCTTCTCGGTAGAAAAAATAGGTTTAAAAAGAAAGCAGGATGATCTCAGGTAGGAATTACTCTCACAATCAGTAGAACGCCTTGGCTTTCGCAACAACGTTTACGTCGGTGCATGTAGGCCTAGATGTGAGCCGGGTTTGTTCGTGTGTTTTCGTTATCTGACATAAAATTCGCAGTCATAAGTCGTTCGGACATATGACCGACATGTGACGGACATATGTCCGACATATTTTTTCATGTCCGTCACGCTGCAACTCTAGATTTGAATCATATATTGGGGTTTGCGCATGCGCGCGCGCTGCACACGGGTCGTTAATAGTTCGAGAGTGGGTGGTGCCGCCTGACGACCTCCTCTCCTTGACTTAGTCGCGACTCCCAAGAGCCCCCCCCCCCCCTCTCCCCTATTAGCAAGTAATAAAATAATAAATTTTCAGATAGACTGTCAAGGTAGATTCCTCCTATAGAGGTTGTAAAGGTAGGAGGTTGTAGAAGTTGATAGGGCGCTTGGTAAGCTATATACTGGCTAGGTGTGGGCCCTCGGAGAGGGGGTAGCGTATCTAGCTTGCTAGGCGCGTACATCGTATAGCGTGGATGCTGCTGCAGTAAGGGAGTGGGTGGTGCCTCCTGACGATCCCCTAGAGTTGTTTCTTGACCTAATTGCGAACCCCTCCTCAATAGTAAATAATAAATTTTATTAAGTTATATGCTAGCTAAGCGTGAGCCCTAGGACAGGGAGTAGCGTCTTAGCTTGGTAAACTATATGCTGGCTAGGCACGTACACTGTATAGCGTGGATGTTGCTCTCTCTCTCTCTCTCTCTCTCTCTCTCTCTCTCTCTCTCTCTCTCTCATGCATTCTTACAGCGTACGCTCTTCGTATAGCATGGATACTGCTCTCTCGTTCTTCTTCCATAGTAGGGCGCTCGGTAAGCATATGGGCCCTTGGAGAGGGGGGTAGCGTTTCTAGATTAAGGTGCACTAGCTAAGCTATATGTTGGCTCGATGTCTCTCTCTCTCTAGCTTGATTTGTGTATGAAGGGGGTATGCTTGCTAGGGCTGCATCGAGCTTATATTGAAAGACAGAGTTCAGTGTCTCACCCACACTCAGTTCGCGAAATAGCCTTTTCCTACGCTTCTCCACCCACCCACCCACTTTCCCACTTCCCTTAGATATATCTATTTGTAGTAAGTAGGCAGTGTAATTATTAGCTATTATCTATTTTTTTATTTATCATTTTAATTGTATAAGTAGACAATAAAATTAATAGTATGTAGACAATGAAATTAATAGTATTTATTTATTTACTTTTTTAATCATACATAGAGTAAAGAATACTCTATCGATAATCTTTATTCTCTTCAGTTGACATAGCTATTTCAAAATATGCAGATAAATTCTTATAAAAATTATAATCATCTTCAAATGAATTTATTATGTCGATTTCTTGTGGTTCAGCTTGTTTTCGTCTCTTCTTAATCCACGTATATAATTTGTGTACATTTGCAGCAGCACAAACGAAATCAGTATCTTTTTACAATGAAATACTCTTGACGTTCTTAATGGATTTGATAATTCTGCTAACGGAGGACATCTGATATCACTTTCAAGATCTAAAATTTTTCTGTAAATAAAAATGTAATTAAGAATTATATACATAGACTAAATATTCAAACACACATTACTAAAACTTACTTTTCAGGCAGTATACTTTGAAGCCATTGTTTTTTCTCTTTTCCTTTCACATATATATTTTTAGAATTTGACAAATGATTTCGTAAAACTTTTAATAACAATTTATATATTATCTCCATAATATTCTCTGATGATATAATTCATTCCATCTATATACATATTAATATTTCTTAGGAACGTTTAGCCAGTGATATGGAGGTTTAAAGCACAGAACATTTAGATTAGAATAACTACTCAACGCTAAATAAGCTAGCTCTTTACAAACAAACGATTTTTGGGACAGTGAAAACCTTGAAAATTTAATACACACTGCATTTTTAATACTTGTCCTCGTAGATATACTCGAACAATACTAGCCTAGAAATGAGAATGTAAGAATGTTGGAATTCAATATATACTCTATTTAGTTAGATGTCTATGCAGTAGCCTCCTCACTTTTCACTATAAGCTACCCCTTTCATAGATCACAGCGCCGACGCCGCTGCGAACTGCGCCATCGCCTGGCTTTAAAAGATAAACCGTCGCAAGAAAGAGCACAGCCTGTTAAGACTGTTTGTAGCCATAGTTAGTAGTCAACTGTAGTCAATAGAGACTACTAGTAGTTAGAAAAAGTAGCTTAAATACCCTGTATAATTTCTAAAGTAGCTTAAATACCCTGTATAATTTCTAAAATAGCTTAAAGACAATTTGTAAAGTAATTTACTGAGTATCTCAATAAAAATCTCTTCTATTTCATACTTTGAACAATATGTAAAAAATCTCTCGACAAAGGAGTCGATGTAGATGATTTTATTAGATGGAAAAATTCAGCAAATTTTGCTTCCATTGCTCTTAATCGATATCCGAAGCTGAGTAATTTATCTCGAGCAATACTATAAAGAGGTAAAACTTGATTGCTTTAGAAACGCAATTTAATAATTTCATAAAAGTCGGTGGAACTATTCAAACATCACAGTTAAACATAGATGAAATTCAAGGAGATGGCGTTGTTTGGAGATCAATTCATTCTACTTTTGAAAATTGAATTAATATTATGGTTATAGGAAATCAACATCACGTAGATATAAAGTCGTTTTTAAATAAAGCAAACAAACTTTTACAAAAGCAAATACCGAAGTTTCTAGCTATCCACAATGCATTGAAGATAAATATGAAGTTTTCAGCTAAGTTTATTATTAAAAAGAATAATGAAGAGGATATTCAAATTAAATACTTTAACACTAAAAATCAATACATTTATAAAAGTAGTGATCTAATTGAAAGAAATATTGAAGATGTTTCACTTAAAAATATATAAGAATATCAAAAAAGAGATTCTGGTTTGTCATTAAAGGCTAGGCTTATAGTTAATATAAATAAACACAATCCACTCAAACCTTGCTCGTATATTCCATTACCTAAGGCCATATAAATGAGAAAAGTTTGTATTAATGTTAGGAATACCGACAATGAATGTTACAAATGGGCTGTACTACGAGCTTGTCTTCATTTTACTGATAATTATAAAAACCACAGTTATAGAACCAGTAATTATGCGCGCTTTGGAAAAGAATTTAAATTTGATGATATAACGTTTCCTGTAGAAATAAAAAGTATTACAAAATTTGAAAAGTTGAATGACATATCCATAAACGTATACATTTTTAAAAAATATAGTAAAAAATAAAAAATGACACCATGTCATGTAACTAGTTTGAAAAAATCCAAACATATTAATCTTCTTTTAATTCAAAAAGATGTATTGATGAATATGATGAGAAAAGCCAAAATATTCACGATAAAGAACCAATTTTCAACGAGCTTCACTATGTATGGATTAAAAATTTGTTTGCGTTTGTTAGAAGTCAAATAACTTCAAATATTAAAAAATCTATCTTTGTGAACGCTGCCTCCACTATTTTACTACTGAGGATCAATTGATAGCTCACGATACTGATTATTTAAAAATTAATAAGTGTAGAAACAATCTGCCTGATGATACAATTCTACAATTTAAACATTCGAAACGTAAAGAAGTGGTTTCATATGTCATATATGCTGACTCAGAATGTTTGTTAAAACCTGTCGACAATAGTTGTGCTTTTTAAGAACACGAAGCTTTTAGCGTTGGATTATATATCAAATATATATATGATGATAGTAAGTCAGAGTATAAGTCTTATAGAAAATAAACAACTAAAAAGAGACTCCTACTCAATGGCTTATAAAACAAATTAAAATATTATTAGCTCGGAAGAAGTATATAAAAATGCTTTAGCAATGAATCTTCCCTTTATAGATAAGTATACATTTTAATGGAGTACGAAGTATCACATATACAATAAAACTTTTAAGGAAGAAGAAAGGAAAGTTAGAGATCATTGTCATTTAATCGGTAGATTTAGCGGAGCTGTTCACAATCATTGTAATTTGAATTATAAACAGAACAATTTCATTTCAGTAGTATTTCACAATTTTACAGGCTATGACTGTCATTTTATTGTAACAGAAATTGCTACTAATTCAGATTTCGAGGGAAAAAGAGCGTTATATATCTTTTACAAAACATATTCCGGATTATGTCATTAATTTACGTTTTATTAATTCGTTTCGTTTTATACCTTCATCTCTAGATAAATTAGCATCATATTTACCTAAGCTAGATATTGTAAAAAGAGAATTTGAGAAAGATAATTTCACTGCAAGACAAATTGATTTAATTAAAAGGAAAGGTGTCTTCCCATACGAAAACGTTAACAGTTTCAATAGTCTGACAGAAAATCAATTACCTTCAATCGAAGGATTTCATAGTCAATTAACAGATAGTGATATATTCATGGCAGATTACATCCACGGGCAAAACGGTTGGAATACTTTTCAAATTAAAGATTTAGGTCAGTATTCTGATCTTTATCTGAAAAAAGATGTTTTACTATTAGCTGATGTTTTTGAAAATTTTCGTACAACCTGTATAAATGCGTATGAACTTGACCATAATATTATTTCACAACTCCAGGATTAATATGGGATACTATGTTAAAGTGTACAAATATTGAACTCGAACTGTTAAATCATATTGATATGTTATGATAT